AAAGATTACGATATTGTTCAGATTGAATAAAACGTGGATAACTATTTTTTTTCATTAATTCAACAATATGTTTTTCAGCTTCAAGAAATATTTCACTAGAAAATATATTTTTTATTTGGTAAATTTTAACATATTGAAATAGAATCTTACCGGCTCGGATTAGTTAATTGTTTAATAATTTTTGTTCGTATTGTGTCATTAATATTAACTTCTTGCGGTGCATTTGGTGCTAAATGTTCACTAATAAATAAAAAGCAAAATAATTAAAAAAAAAATTAATGAAATATTTTTACTAACCGATAGACAACATCAGCTTTTTCTTTTATTTTTGATAATGGACAATTTCGTATTTCTTGGACGTGTAAATAAAAATTTAAGCTTTCTGTCGAAAAATCGGCTTTACAAAATTTCATAAATTCACGAACACCAGTTTGATCCGAAAGAAGTTCTTTACAATTAAATGACCAACGACGTACACGAAGTTGTGTTGGAGTGTCAACTCTGAATAAATAAATATGCATATACATATATAAAATAACCTATGAAAATAAAATTCATACAAAGGTTGCATTAAATCCCATCGATCTGTATCTGATGTTAACCATGGATTTGATGGTGGACAATGTCCCAAAAATGGATCATAATCACTGAAGACTTCAAAAAATGCACATAAACTAAACGAAAATTTTGTAATAAAATATTTTGTTTTCGAAATAAATTTATGCAACATGAAGCAATTGAAAATTGACATCGAAAAAAAAGAAAGAGAGAGATAGGAACAACATTGATTGGTTGGCATAGTTATAGACATATAGAAAAAAAACCTTTGATGAGTTTGTGATGATTTCGTGCGTACTCGATTTGTTAATGCCTGTTGTAGATATTCAAGCTGAAACAATAGGGTGTTCAATAGCTTTTTATTTATTCCTTTTCTTATTCTAAAAATAATGTTTAAATAAATATTAATTAACTTACACGTCGTTTCAATGCTTCATCACGTCTCATTGGTCGAAATGTATATAGATCATTACGTATATCCATTTCCAAAACAGATGTTTCATCCGGCTGTGAATATTAATTATAAATATTAAAAATATACTCTTACCAAATAAAAAAAGAAAAAGTAATATTTACCGAAGGACGCATAACACGCCAAAATGCACGTTCTTGACTATCAATTATAGTCTTATCCGTTTTTTTACGATCTTTAAGTACACTAAGAATAGAAAAGAAATGTTTTCATTTTTGAATAATTAACTTTTTTTTTATTATGAATATTACCGAAATTGAGCTTCAGCTTGCATTGTAACAAAATCCCATTGATGAAGTAATTTCTTTTTTAAATCATCCAATGCACGCTGAAGAAAAAAACAAGAGAAGAATAGGAAATATTAGATGAAATAATAATTCAACAAACCATTTCATGTTCTTCAAGACCATGTCGTTGGCGATTTCTTAATGTACGCTTTATTAAATAAATAGCTAAAAGTATTCAATTGATAATTAAACAAGAAAACGTTTTTTTTTTTGTTTCAAACAAACCATATTCTGTATTGCCCGTCGTCCAATTCGTTGAAACCCAAAAATAAGGTGCTTGAAAACGAAATAATTCATTGTCTTCTTTAATTTGTACAGCTCCATTTGTTGTTACATGAAAAAAATAACCATAATAACATAATAAAGAAGCAAGATGAAGTGCTTCAACTAGATAACAATAGATTTAATTTTTTTTTTAATAAGAAAATATAATTTAAACATACCCGAATCTTTAACACCTAATTTTTGCATAATCCATTCTGTAATATCATTACCAGTAAACGCATTTGGTACTGTTGTAAGAAATAATTTTTGACTTCGAACAGGTACACCTGCTGTTGGATGTTGCATTGCTTTAACAATACGTTCCATACGTTGAAATTGAAGAGAACGTGGCAAACCTTTTCGTTGAGCATTCGTTGTTATTTCCATTGATGTTTAGATTTATTTTTCTGAAAATGAATTAAACAAAAAACATTTTATAGATGTATTATTTAATGTTATTTGTTTTCACAGACAACAAGATATTATTACACATAAGTTATTATTCAATATATATATATATGTATATTCATATAAGAAAAAGTAGTATTAGATACCAAAAAAGAGAAGGAAAACCAATATTATTATTTGAGATAGAAATAAAGAATAAGACAGTTTTATGCTTTTTTTTTGTTACAAGACACAATAAATAAAAGAGAAAAAAAAGCCGCCCGAATAAACACAGTAAAGAAATGACAAAATGAAATATCTGATAGAAAAAAAACAGGATTTTTTTCCATATCATAACACATCTTTCTATTGTTCTGTATTTTCACAAAACACAACAAAACAAAACAGCACGTATATATGAGCATATAAAAAAGAGAAGACAAAGAGAGAGAGAGCGAGAGAGAGAAAGAAGAAGTAGAAGAAAAAATATTTGTTCATCACTATATTAGAATATTGTCAAATTGTGCATTATCAATTTCTTGTTTTTTAGAATGCGCAAATAAGCGAAACCTATTAGAGACACAAAAAGAAATGAGAAAGAGAGGCGTTTACAAATAGAGACACAAAAAAACAACAACATGATTGTATAATAGAAAAATAAGCCATATAAAATGAAAAGATTAAATTTTGGTATGTTGCAGATTATCCATAATAGCATTGAGGATATCTTGTTTAGCTTTTTCAATATCTTTACGTAATTCAGTTAAAATATCCATTTT